AACCAAAATAAAGATATAAAATAAAAAGAAAGATAAGAATAAGAATATTAAAATAAGAATAAAAAGAAATAATAAAACAAATATAAAGAATGATATATCAATATCAATCAATAAGATAGAAAAGAATAATTAAATCATTTAAAAATTGAAATTAACATTAATATTGATATTAAAATATTATATTTAACAATATGATAATTCATTTGATTCATTTATTGTATTATATTCAAATATACATAGAGAATTTAATTATTAATAAAAAATGAACAAATTTCACATTAGAAAATAAAGAACATTATATATCATTTTTATTACTTAATTAAATATTAATTATTAAACCAATTAATTAAAACTTTCATTTAATTATCTGTTTTTATCAGATTAAAACATACTTCTCATTTTTTGAATGAATTTACCTAATGTTGATTTTTCTCCTTGTTTTATTTCGTTCATTTTAATTTCAATCTCTGCTTTAATCTCTTCCTTACTCTTTTGTGTTGAGGCTTTTTTCATAATATCTTCTATTATTTCATTTGATTGTTTAAGTTGTTTATATCCTTCAACTCGTTTTTGATATCCACTTTTCATTTCTTCATTCTCTGTTTTAATTAATTGGTCTAAATATTCATTAGAACTAGTAACTTTATCATTTAATGCAATTGACGATAATCTATTAATACATTTTATAATTTTTAATTCTTTATCATAACAATCCATTTGGATTTTAATATATTCGTCTTCCAACTTGTTTAACAGATTTTCTGCACTAGCCATACCTTTTTTACCTTCGTTATATCTTTCAAGTACTTCTTGTGCTGTTTGTTGTTTTGTTTCTGTTATATAATCAAATCTATATTTTCCATTTGCATGTTGTGTATAATGACATCCACATACTTTACAATATCCATTATCACCAATGCACGCACATCCATCTTTTACATCTCCTTCAATCCAACATGGATAATGACATGTTCTATTACATCTCAAACAATTAGTTACTTGTTTTCCTACTTCTAACTCAATCTTTTTTTGTACTGTTACATTAACAGTAAATGTAAAATCTTGATTATTATTAACTTTATCTCGATTCAATAGAACTGTTCACATGTTTGTTCTATTTCACTCATTTTTGATAATCCATTATTTAATGATATTCTCAGCCCTTCGATTTGAGTTTTAATTTGTTCTCTTCTCTTCAAAACTTCTCGGGATTTATCTAATGATTTTCTTGGTAGTTTTATTAATTTTTTAATAAATTCATCAAAACTCTTCATACCTAACTCCCAAAACATTTGTGTAAATTCATCTGTAGTTTTATTAGCAAAAATAGCTGAATTATTAAATTTTAAATACCATGGTTCATCTATGTATGGAATAATTGAACTGAAAATACATTCTTTTGATTGTAATGCATTAATAATTTGTGGGTCTTCACCATCACAGAATGTGAGCATAGCAATAAAATTCTTTTTCACATCTTTCCCAAATAAATTAATAATATTATCAAATATATATTTTTGATTTGCTGTTAATCTTGGATTACTTGATTGTGCAACAAAACAAATAGCATTTAAATCTAATACTTTTGTTTCAAATGCTTCTTTGATTTGTTTAGTAATTTCTTTATCATGTTCAATTCCTCTTGTATCTCCAAATCCAGGTGTATCTATTATTTTTATTGGTGGTGTTCTTTTTGTTCTTTTAATATTATAAATTGTTACTTTACTTGTTTGACTTATTGATTGATCTCTACTCTGTTCTAAATTATCTTCATTTATAATTATATATCTAAAATCATCTGTTATCTTGATTCCATATAATGCATTTACAAAACTATTTAATAATGTTGTTTTACCACTTCCTGTTTCTCCAACAACTAAAATAGCAATTGCGTCATTCTCATCCTTTGGTTAAATGGTTCATTTGGATATAAATATATTTTCAATTTTCCTTTTTCATGGCTTTTCAATCTGTCACTTCCTTTAATTGGAACATTTTTTCTGGGTACAGTTGTAGTATTATTTGATGAAGTATTATGTGTTGTAGTATTACATGGTGAACCAACAGATGTTGTATTATTATTTGATGAAGTATCAGACATTTCTGTTGTTATATTGATCTTGTTATCATATAAAATAGATGTTAATTTTAATGATTTTTCATTTTCTCTTTGTATTTTATTTCTTTCTTGATCTTCAAATACAAA